ATTTCGGCACCCAAGTTCAATAGCTTTGCGGCCGCTATCCCGATCATGATTTTACTACCCCCAGAGGGAAAGGCCCTTCCCTTTGGGGAGAGAGATTTAATTTGGGTTTGAAGCTCCGCTAGAGAGAAAGAAGTTTCTCTCGAAATTGAAGTGGAGAGGAGGGTAGGGTGGTCGGCCAAGGGAGGAGGGAGAGAGATTTAATTTGGTTCCGATTTGGTGGAGGGAAAGAGTTTCCAAATAATTCTCTAATTAATCCCTATGATTGGGGATTAATTAAAGAAGAGAGAGAGGGTAGGGGCGGCGGCAAGAGAGGGTGGGAATTGGGGATTTGTTTCCAAAACTGAATATTAGATTTTGGAAAGTAATTAGGAGGTGTGGAGGCTTTGGAAATTTCGGCCAAGAGTGGTTTTAGGTTTTGAATTAATCCCAAAAAAGGGAGAAATAAATCCAAGGTAATTAATGAGGGTAGGGGCCGGCGGCTTAATGGAATAGGGAGGTGATTATGGGGAGTAATTTGGGTTACTAATTTGAGATTTAGAGATTAGGAAAGTCTTTCTTAAATCCCAATTAATTTGAGATTCAAATAGGATTTAATTTAGGAACTTTCCTAAAATAGATTTCCTAAGTTAGGAAAGAATTTCAAATTCAAAATAATTTTGAATTTTGAAATTAAACCTTCCTAAATTAAGAGTGGATGCTTATGGAAAGTAATCAAGAGGGGTTGAATTATGGAAGGAAGATGGGAGGGAGAGGGGTTGGGCCATGTGGGATTTTCGGAAGAGGGGTGGTGGTGGTGGTGGAGAAGCCGGCGGGTAAACGTGGAGAAGGGTTGGTCAGCTGCCTAGGGATTGGGTAAGATCTTAGGCTAGAAGCTAGACAAAGAAAAGAAAAGGAAATTTTGATAACGACGAAGAACCACGAATCCGACCGTCTCCAAGGTTGGTGGGTTATGATGCACAGACACGGACACGGCAACACGGATATGACACGACACGGACACGGGACATGTCAATTATTGAAAATATAGGACACAGACACGGGTTGGACATGGTATTATAGTTTTTATATTTAAAAAATAGTGTATAAAAACTAAATAAGTATAATTTTAAAAATAATTTGAAAACAATAAGTCATTTAACTAGAATTTGTGCTTAAAATGATTAGTATTAGGATGTCGAGAGTCAAGCATCGATGCTGTTTATCAGTCACCGAGAGAGGAGATGAAATTACCTTCACTGTCAAAAAGAAATTAAAATGAGAATATTCGATGATTGTGTATTAAGTGAAGACATTGATTTGATGTTGTGGATAGGAAATAAGAAATTTAGTTTAAATCCCGCAAAATACAATAAATTATATTTAAAAAAATTCATAAAATATTTAAGATACGCGTGTTTGACACGCGTGTCCAATTTGTATTTAATATTTTTTAATCGGACACGATTTTGGAGTGTCCAACACGTGTCGGAGAAGTATCGGACGAGTGTCGTGTCGGATATAGTGTCAGACACTGCACGCCTCTTTGAGGAGAAGTGTTAGTGCATCATAATTGGTGGGTGATCCAAACTCTCTCTCCAAGGGACCTCACTCAGTCTCTCTCAATTTCTCATAAGAAATTAAAAATTGGGAAAATTTTCTTATCATTCAATCATTAAGCATTCAAATAGAAACATAGGGGCTATAAATAGCCTTATACATAGGACTCAAAATAAAAAGACGGCAATGCCCTCAGGGCTTACATACGACCTCCCTTAAGAGGTAAAAACGAAAAAACAACTACAACATAAATAATAAAAGGCAAATACATGAAATAACTCAAAAATACATGGACTCGATCGTGGCCGTAGATCGACGTCCATGTCTCTGATAAACTTTCCAAGCTCTGATGTCCCCATCAATTTTCCTTTTGATAATAAGATTTTATATAATAAATATAATATTATAGTTCATTTTGCGAAGCTTTTCTTGAAAATATTGACAATAGGCGTTTAATCATATTTTATAATAAATTTTATAAAAGAAAATATTTTGTCCATAATGTGATACTACCAGGAGTTAACAAGAAATTAGGAAGAGCAATTATTTACAACTTCCAAATATAAAATTATTGTTTACAACAAAGAAAGATTTTAGAAATTCATAGTTTTAACTTGTTTAGGCAAAGAAATACACTTTAGATTAATCAAGACAATTCGATCAAACTTCAAAGACAAGAGTAAGTTTAATGAGCGCATAACAAATATCCCCAATTTAATAATGAGAGGTTCACCTTGGGGCCTTCTCACTCATTCACTCATGGGGTTAGCGGAAGAAGATGCTCAACACCAGAAAAGAGATCACCACTAGGGAGAAGGAACCTAAGAAATTTGTTGATGGAAAGGTAGCCGGTGACGGATGGATTGGTGGGCGTCCCACGATCGTTCACGATCCGATTGCGAGGTGTTCCTCAATTGATGGTGCCAACGTGAAGATGATGCGATCAATGTAGCCTTCCACGGAGTTGTCGACGCCCAAATTTAAATTGAAGAATGGGGATCGAAGAATGTCTGTCATTCCTTAATTATCATATATGAACCCGTGATCAACGTCGGGATCGGCCATGCACTAGGGGAATGTTGGAAGAGAGGTGCTCGACTTCTTTCCTATCAAAAGAGCACATGAGATGTGGGGAATTCCAAGAAGGTGAACAAGCAAGGGGAGGAGGGGCCGGCGGCTTGGGGTTGGGTTGAATGAAGGGGCGGCTAGGGTTAGGGGAATTTGGGTTATTAAATCCTCTTTAAAGTTAATTACAAAGGAGGGTAATTAAATTAAGAGAATTAAATAAGTTGGGGGGAAGGATTAGAATTCAAATTTTGAATTCAAAATTTGGGGCAGTGGGGGCCAGCGGAATGGAGAGAAAAAGGGGGAGATTGGGAGGGTTTTAAGGGTTTCTTAATGCACTCTTATTAATCAGGGATGAAATAGAAGTAACCAATCTAATTTAAAATTAAATCAGATTCCAATTTATAAACTTTCCTAATTTAGCTTTCTTAGTTTAGGAAAGTATTTGAAATTCAAAACCAATTAAGCTAATTTAGTTAGGTGTTAATGATGATTGATTTCATCATCAAGGGAATAGGAAGGGGGTGGCCGGCGATGGAGCTAGGGTTAGCTACGCCAGCGGTTTTGGGGTGTTGGCGGCGTGGGGTGGGGGTTTGTCGACGGCCTAGGGAGGGAGATGGGAGGAGGAGACCGGCCGGTTGGGTGGTGGTTGGATTTGTCAGCGGTGGAGGGAGGGTGGATAAGGTGGTTGGATGTTTAGGGGTAGATGACGACGAACCGCGAGTTTCGGAATCCACCGGCGATTGACGGGTGTTGCAAGACCTTCTTTTAGGGTTTCTCCTCTCAAGAACTCACACAGAGATCAAACAAAGAAAAGCTGAAATTTTTCATTCATAATCATCATCCTTTTACAATAGAAGAGGCCACAATATATAGGTCTTGTTAAAACGAAGAATTTGAGAAGGAAAAGCTTGAATTTTATTAAGCAATCTACTCCCTATTTATAGATCTATACAAGGTATATCAATAAGGAAACAAATAACTCTTATAATAATATGAATATAATTATTCCTAAATAAATGGGAGGAATTAATGCAATCCTTGTAGTCCTCCCACGGATTACTGTTCACAGCCGTGGATGTCTTCGGGATCGTAAGGTTGAGATTTAACAGGTCTAAAAAATAAAATAACAATGATTCAAATACCCCTTGAGCTACGACTCAAATAAACTCAAAAGAAATGGTACAATCATAATTAGCATATAAATAAACTACAATACATAAATGCATAAAAAATAAAGACTGAATCGTAGCCATCGGTCTATGATTCCTACGCTGATAGACTCGTCGATATCGTCAATCGATATCCTCATCAGTCCATGTGTCTTATCTTACTTTTTACAGCCACATCATGTCATTTTGTCCATGTCATATCATCTTGATGTTTGTGCTACACAGAATACTAACCATGGTATGATAACAAGCTGTTATGATAAGAAATTTTTGCCTATTTTGTTTAAATGTGGATTGAGCTTTATTTAAATTATTATGGTTAATTTTATTAGTGATATAAATCGATGCATATCATATTGATGTTTGATGATAATTCCATCAACTTCACCACAAGCATGCTTTACATTATATGATTATAAATAGGCACTACAAAATGCTTCAAAGACTTCCTAACACTCATTTTGTTCAGAAAACAAAACAGCATTGATTGAAATCCACAAAAAATAATCTACTGTTACATTGACCCACTCACAGCTATCTATATCCTGATATCACAAGAACCAAGTTTTTTGAGTAAGCTCGCTAGCAAACAAATGAAACTTCCCAAGCATTTGTTTTAGAAAATCATAAAATCAACATATATGGTTGGTATAGCATAGGGTGGTCCTGATGGTGATAGTGATTATGATTATTACAAAAAGGCTGCGTTGATGAGGGTGATGATGATGATGATGATGATGATGATGATGATGATGTATGTGTGTGTGTATGTATACATCATGATGCATATATACATATAAACTAGAAAACATACAAGGTCTATGATGCATATGCTACTAGCGCTAGATGAAAAATAGGTAAATTTTTATTACCAAAGTAGATTGGGAGAAAAGAACGAACCAACTTTTAACCAATCAGCCACCCCCTCCTATCAAGCTTATCACATGCAGGGAAACCCATCCCTTGATTTTTGACTGTATGTAGAACATGATAAAAGAGGCAGCAGGCATAGCACTCAATAAAAACATAACGTAGCACATTTAAGAAGAAGCCAGACTCATGTATGTCAGTTAACTCGTACGTAAATGATCAACAAAGATATTTCTTTTGAATACTGTACAGTTTTCAAAGTTAGTAGCCTCATATAATTTTATTTAAGAAATTCATAGGAAAACTATTACACGAAACATCATCAGTTAAGCTCAGTTAAAAAAATTAAACAGATACCTTTCTGACCACCATAATGAGGAGCAGTGTCCCAAAACTCTTCTCGCATCCTTCTAAGATCAGTCATGGCTAACGGCTGAGGATTCTTCCAAGGCTTTGGCTTTTGGATCTTCTTAGTATTTTCTGTAAGATAATAAACACAAAAAAGTTGTGCAATAATAGACCATATGTAAATACTACGTAAAGTGCAGAGGTGCAACCTTCATACATCCGGTTACAAGCAAACCAATCAAGCAATCTGAAGTGCCATGCCAAACACAAAAAAACATAGTATATTTTATGCCCAACAACAAAAGAAGGCGATAAATAAACTTGACTAGCTAAGCACTTGGGTTCAGAATATAATGGTCAACTCCTACAAATCACATTTCTAATGTAACACCAGTGATGAACTCTGCAGTTAAGTAAAATAAGTAAGCCTTCGGGAAGGAAAAACCTTGAGTGCATAATGCTGGGAAAAAAAATTAAACTTCAATTTAGAAAAGGAAATGAAAGCCACAATAGTCTATTCTTTCCTCTAAGATACTCTCAAAGGCACTGCTAGTGGATCCAAAGGGCTCTGACCTAACAAAATTTCTTAAGATTGTTAAAAAAATCCAATAGGGGTCTTGCACATAGGCTCACAGCGTAACCTGCAAAGATTACTACTTTCCCCTTTAAGCAAAATAAAAAGGTCATCTGCATTTGTTAACTACAGAATTTGGCACAAAATATTTATATGCATTGCTTCTTTCACCTTCTTCACTGTCAAAGTGCCCAAGGTGCAAAGCCATATGTGATTACCTGAAGCGGAGGCATCTACACCTGGGTCCAACATCTTTGCATGAACTTCTTTAAAATTGAGAACCCATTGGGTTTAAAATTTTAAAAAGTTCACTCGAATCAACAGAGCCAAAAGATTAATTATGGCCATTTCATATTTGAATCCATTGCATCATCCATCTTCCATTTGTTCATCATTAGTTTGGAATCTAAAATCAAAATCTAAGGCTTTCACTGCATAGTCTAGTAGTCCAAACAATTCAAACAAAACACAAAATATTATGGGAGTAAATGTAACTCCTAATCCTTTGAGAAAGTAGCTTTGTGAACTGGCATTACTGGTGTCATGTTCATGAACTTTCCTCAGCTGAAGAAGATATCTTTACAGAAGACTCAAGTTCAATTTTGCAGGTTTTTTAAAAACTAGTAATTCAACATTTATGAGTAATTGTTTCATTCTAACATATCCAAAGAAATTCAAAAAGGGCTCTCACCAGCCAAGTCATTCAGGAGCTCTGAAAATCCTCCAACACTAAAACCTAGATGGAAATGCCTTCCCTTTCTTATTTTTTTGACCTAGTAAATAAGAAGAACATTCACGAAAGAAGTAGCACAAATAATATATGAATGAAATCCCACCAGATTTTCCTTAACCAAGACTGAAAGATGACTACGATGGATCAATCAAAATGTCTGACGAGCTTTAATGCAAGATCAGGATTGGAAAAAGGGGATTTGTAGTAAGATGCATTGTTTAGACTGATTTAGTGGAATATGCTCCACATGAAAGGAGGCGGGCTCAATACAAACATTATATGTCTTAATATTATTCCTTCAATTATGCTTTCTTAGTTGGGAATAAAACTTCACCGGAAAAAAACGAGTAAGACAAAATGCAGCGAAAAAGAAAGAAAATTAGGATTTAACATGGAAAAACTCGAAATTGGGAAAAAAATCACAGCGCCATGCCACACCAAAAAATTAACTATGAAAATGGGAAACTTGTACATATCTATTTCTCTCTCACTCACCCATTCCTCTTTACTCCTTACACCATTCTCATATAGAACTGTCAAAGAGACACACATTAACCATCCCAATGGACACAACCCTTCAAGTTAAACATGGAAAAAGAGGAAAAAACTGCCCAACTAGACTTACACTGTTGCGACACCGGGTTTGGAGCTTCACGGCGCTCCACTATCTATCTATGAGCCGCCCTGCAACATTGTTGCGCTGCAGCCTACAGCGTTGTACGGCTAAAGGGAAAAAAGTTTTTTCCTAGGCAAGGCCCCCCTGCAACCCCCTAGTGAGTTTGACCGATGAAATTGAGTTTTGAGTCAATAGTACAACTTGATTAATTGACACAATCAGATTTCACATAGAACTAACATTCTTCCTCCTATTCTCTTAAACATCATATAGTTAAAATGCATAGGATAAATGAAGGAAGAGTTCAATACAATTTATAGGAGTCAACAAGGTCTATTCTTTGATTTTTCCTTTATCCTATTCTATTTTATAGAGATGAGAGTTTATGAAACAAAAGAGATGACTACTCTTTTGTAAGGTAGTATCAAGTGAAAGCTTTCTAAGTCATTCTCTCCAACTAAATATGGTAGAGCTAAAGATAGTGAAAAATGAATTAATAAAACCAAATAAAATTGGAGTGAAAAAGTGATTCCTCGAATGACATCTCTCAAAGCATGAATTGTTAGACGTCCTAATAGCACAATTTTATAAATCACGTGACTATTTAGGATAATGATACAAAAATCACATGTACTTCTTTCATAGATGATGCTCATGTGAAGCGAAATAGTGTTAGCTAATATGCACACTCAGAGTGGTAACTTCACATAGCAGTTCAAATAAGTCAAATGATGATGATCATTACAGTGCTACAAGACAAGGATAGTACAAGGGTCCATTGGAAAAAGCAATGACTCCATTCCGGTGCTAAAACATCATAAGTAGCATTAACCATGGAAATCCACTAATAAAGTTTTTTCCTAAAACTCGGTAATGCTCAAGAGGTAAAACAAATAATACAGCAAGGAAAAATTCTGTACACAACTCTTCTTGGCCTATTGGTTGAGAGCTTAGGCTTTCAATTAAGAGGTCCAAGGTTCGAGTCTGTGTGTATGCGTTGTGTGTGTGAGTTTGCCTTAATTGGCCTAAATGTCCCTAAAAAAAAAGGAAAAATTCTGTTTTTCCTGACACAAAATGATTAAGACAAGCTCCCCAGCAAATTAAAGCAGATCATTAGCAGGATTGCTACCAATTCCAACGCTATCAGCTCAAGATTCCTTACTACATCTATCAATTCAATCAGCAAGCTTCTAACAAATTTATGCAAGATGACCTCAGGAACTGTCGAATCATGCAAAAAGCAATATATTTTAACAACTTACACCAATTCAATGATCAAGAAAGATAAAACAAGGTTCACGCAACATAGAATAGATGAAAATAATTAAAAGCTTGCAGCAGCCAGTGAGAATATATAAACTAATAGCTAGGGCATGCGGTAAAATCCAACGTAGGAGGCCAATAATTGTAAGCTCACCTTCGGACATGCTCAAGGAGGATAAGCCACAGCCCATCGCCGGAGATATATAACCTTCAACAATCTCGTATACAAGAAAAAGGGCATCACACCACTGGCGCCGCCCAGCGATCGGAGAGTCGCCAAAATTCTTTAGCTTTTGAAGATGGGTAGACGAGCTCCTGTTTCCAGGTCAAAGCGGCATACACTATTCTTGATAATCGAAGAGATTTTATTTTTTGGGATTTAAGTGTAACAACATTTTTATGTATTTTTATGTATTTATCTTTTTATTTGTAGAGTATTTAAAATTTTAAACTATATAAAAATATTATTGATATTACTTTATTTAAAATTATATAAATATTTTAATATGTTTTTTAGATATAATCTAAAATTTAAGAGATATGGAAGTCATTATAAACATTTTGATATTAGATATATAAATACATAAAAAGTTTATGATATGTATATAAATGACAATATATCATTTTTAGAGGGAAATTATGAATACTGATATATCAGTAAAAAATTATCTTGATCAGGGACGAATCTCAAAGCAAAATTGAGTTGAAAGCTTCCAAAATTCAATCAAAGACCATATGAGTTCCGATTTCAGCAAACTTATAGTCAAACTGAAAGTCTCAGAAAGACAAACCCATCGACACCAAATTCGACTCAATCCGAGCCTATATGGGTCCAAATCAAGGGGATGAAGCGCTGTTGAAGGGTTCAAACCACAATTTGGATTATCAAACAGTTTTCAAATGTGTCATGCTTATAATCAAATCGAGCGGCTCGACGAGATGAATCCAACGAGCCCAAGATCATTTAATTCTGAAATCGTTAAGGCATTCAATTGACCAATAAACGGTACATGATCAAGGGGATCAATATCGGCCGTCCATTCAAACACTCCCATTTTTCCCTTGATCCTCCACATATTTACAAGCCATGCCACTCTCAAAAAACTATAAATAGGCCATCATTCTTCACATAAAGGGGGAGAAGGAAGAGGGAGAAGAAGAGAAGGAAGGGAAGAATTTGGGAGCTCTCTTGCCATCGACCACCGCTGGAGTTCCTGCCGACCACCGTCGGGGTTCCTGCCGGCCACCACAGGAGTTCCTGCCGACCACCGCCAGTATTCCTCTCAACCATCGCCGGATTTCCCGCCGACCACCGTCGGAGTTCCCGCCGACCACCGCCGGAGTTCTTCCCGACCACCGACGGACTTCAGCTAGTCAATCGACCACCGACGGACTTCTGCCAGTCCGTCTACCGCCACCAGACTTCCACCAATTCGCCAACCACCAACGGACTTCTGCCAGTCCGTCGACCGCCGCCAGACTTCCACCAGTTCGCAGATCGTCGCCGGACTTCCACCCGTCCTTCGACCGCCACCGGACTTCTACCAGTTCACTGACTGCCGTCGGACATCCGCTTGCTCTCCGACCATCGTCAGACTTTCATAGTTTGCTGTCCGCCATTGGAATTCCACCAGTCTGCCGAACACCGCAGGACTTCCGCTAGTTCGCCAACTACAATCCTCCCAACCACTGTCATCCAATTACGGTCCTTCTGATCTCCGTCATTTGCAGAATATGGTCTTTCGGACCTTCATCGTCTGCCGACTACATTCCTCGCCGACTATGGTCGTCCCGACCTTCGTCGCCTGCTAACTATGGTCCCCTTGACCTTCGTCGCTCGTCGACTACGGTCCTCCCGACCTTCGTCGCCTGCCGACTATGATCCTTCTGACCTCCATTGTCTGCCGACAACGGTCCTTCCGACCTCCGTCACCCGGTGAATACGATCCTCCCAACCACCATCGCAATACAACGGTCCTTCTGACCTATGTCGCTCATAGACTACGATCCTTCCGACCTCCGTCACTCGCCGAATATGGTTCTTCCGATCTACATCGCTCGTCGACTATGGTTTTGCCACCCCAAACAAACATATCAACATTGATTCTTCCAACTTCCACCACACAATGCATTTTATATGATGTATATTTGTTACTTCGAGCCAAGGCCTTCCTCGTAAGGATGGGCCTCATTTGTAATCAATTGCAAGCGCTAGTGGATTCATTCAAACTGGGCCAGGCCCCGTGGTTTTTCCCCCTTTTTAGGGGTTTCCACGTAAAAACTCTGGTGTCTCTTATGAACGCTACACCCTCATCTCTTTCATCTGCTTGTGTTCTGGATCTTCGTACAAAGCTAAGGCATTAATCTTCATATTTCTCTACCGCCGCGAATTTTTCAGGACGCAACAAATACATTTATTCTTTAACGACTTATATACTTATGATGATTGGTAGATTAGTATACTTAATGTAAGAAAATTATTTAATTATTAATGTATTTGATTACAAAGCATTAAAGTAGATAAGTACATGGTTCTTGTGAATAATATTATGTTAACCAATATTAATAAATTTTTTGTTATTGTTAATGCATATTATTACTATCATGGTAATTCATGCAATTAAATTCATTATAAAGAATGATCCTATACTTGTAATTATTTGTTACTGGCATTGATGCTCTATGTTTATAATACTATTATGCTATAATAAACTATACCATTTTATTGACTAAGGTTTCATTTGGGACGACTTTTTTATTGCTTTTAAAAACAAATTTTTAGTAGAAAAATTTTTAAAGTTAAAAAATTTTGTACTAAAAAGTTGCTTCAGAAAGCAGTAAAAAAGCCGTATCAAACAAAGCCTAAATGTTTACAACATTATGGCAAAATAAATTATTATATATAACAAAATTATTTAATGCCAAAAAAATAAATCATGGCTTATATGAAATTGATGAGTACTAATGTCTCTTTATTTTAACTATAAATCATAAATCATTATTGAAATGGGCAAGTATACATTCTCTTATATGAAATTGATGAATTAAAACCCTATAGAGTAATAGGTCATGAGCAAAAGCTACATAGGTGGTTGCCTTGTCTTGATTTATCGGTGGAGTCTCTGATTATCCTTATTTGGGTTTATTTTTCTAATCTTCGGCCTCATCTTCTCTCCCCTCGCATTCTTCATGGCTTAGGTTCCTTATTTAGTCATCCCCTAAAAACTGATAACACGACAGTCATTGGGTCGTGGCCTTTTGTGGTCTAAGTTTTCGTCTAATTGGATATCTAAAAAACTTACCTTGATTCTGTTTGGACTGGCCCGAACAATTTAGGTTATCTACAAAAAGTTGTTATGGAGAAGTTCCCCGCATTTTGTAATGTATGCACATCTCTGCCTCATTCGAATGACAAATGTTCCCCTACTCACGAGGACCCTCAATTTGTTGTGAAACCTATTGTTCCTTTTAGGGGGAATGTTTCTACTAATGTTGTTGTTCAGGATGCTATTGATCTTGTGGCTATTGGTCCTATCATATCCCTTGCTCTCGTGGCCTAGCCAGTTGTTCTTATTGAGGAAAATGTTATTGTTGAGGGGGAACTTCCTGTTGCTCCTTTATCTATTTCTCCTCCTACGGATTTATCTTGTGTCAATAATATGGGTATTACTGCTGATGTGAGTATTGTGAACCATCCTACTAGCCCCATCTTAACTCCTGTTTTAAATGTTGATGATGTTTCGGCTTTTCCTATTGATAATTTGGATCCTCAATCTGTTTGTTTGGAACATTCACTTAAGTCTCCCAATGATGATGATGGCTCTGATGCAAATAGAATTTGTGGATGGTAGGCATTGTATTGGTATTTCTCTAGATAGTCTTGACATAGATATATGTGATGTGAATAAGGTTGTTTTGGATGAGTCTTCAAGCGATTTGAATGCTATTACTCCTGTATCACCCGTGGCTTCTATGGGAGTGTCGTTGACGCATAATGTGGATGTTATTAAGGGAAATGAGCTTATTTTTTATGTCTCTATTTCAATTTTTTCTAATGACGAATTGAAAGCTCAATTTGCTTTAACTTTGAATAATGATGACCCGTCGGATTGGCTGGAGGAATCCTTCTCCTTGGCGTGCGGGGGTGTCGGGGGTAATTTAGTTGATGATGTGGATGATTTGCAAGAGAAGTATGTTCTAAAGGTGGGGCATATTGTGCAGCAGGCTTTCTACCAGAGCTCTATGAAGCATCGTAGGAGAAAATCTAAGAAAAAATAATGGTTTCTCTATTGGATCTCTTTTTCTGTTGTTGTATTTTCTTCCTCTAATTGGTGTGTTTTCTGTTATGGTTATGCTTTTGATGTTTTCTACTGGCTGCGATATATCTTGGACTATGATGAGGAAGCTTTTTTGCATCCACCTCGTTGGCCTTACTTGCTGGCCTTCCCTCTTTCTATATGGAGCCTTTAGTTGGGTGATGGGTTATTGTTTGTTGGTTATCTGATGTTTGATTTTTGAATTGTTGCCCCCAATGGATGGCCCTTGCTTGGCTTGCGGGTGATTGTAGGAAGCCTTTTGGCCCTTCCTGAGTCCGACTACCATCTTCATCCTTTTTTCATGTGTTTCTTGCTCCATTACAGCCTTTGTTGCACTTCTTTTTTTAGGACATTTTTTCTTTGCTGTAATGTTCTTGTAATCTTGTTTTCTACTGTTGGAGGCTTGGAGCTTGTTGTAATCTCTTTTTTAGTGAATTAAAATAAATAGTTTGCTAAAAAAAACTACATAGAGAAGGATCTCTCTCATAGCAATGTAATATCTCTCCATATAAATGATTAGTTACTAGTTAGAGCATATATATATATATATATATATATATATATATAT